TAACTATAAAACTGAGGGATCAAAATGCAGGCTAGTATTTAAGTGCAAAGTAGTTATCCCATTAATTCATTTCCCTTTAGACAGTGCAACCAGAGAAAAATGGAAAACAAATTATCTGGGAGATTGTAATTCACATGCATAATTAATTTGCCCACTGAATTCCGTATTTGGGCTTTTCTTCCTGTGGAGAACATAATCTCTTTTTTATTTTAGCCTTGTGAGTCAAGACGTGTGTGTGTGTGTGAAAGAGAGAGAAAGAGGCCTCTATCCATGTAACTGGATGGAGCTGGACTAAAACAAGAATCAATGCTTCAACCACAGAAATGTGGCTTTGCTAGTTTCTTCATTTCACATCTTAGCTTTTCTTTCCACCAGAAAAAAAAACCCGGCCATATTTGAGAAATAAGCCTCTATATATCCTGTAGGTAGTGTTGATACAGGCTCTGTAAGTGAGCAAAACCTAACTCAGTAAGTGGGTCACTTTTTACCTCTATACTTCAACTCACAATTAAAACAATCCTTCATTCTTTTGCAGTTTTTAAAATACTTATATTTGACCATTATTATATAATTATAGATGTACTTGGGTCTAAATTCTAAGTTGTTTAACTTATTCCTATCAGTCACAACAATTAGAAAGTGTGTCACTTGACTAAAAGTAGTTTAACCTTCTAAGACTGATAATAACCTTTTAAAGCCTTTGAAGGTAGAGATCATGTTTTGTGACCCAGGCAGAGGCTTATAAATTGGTAAAAACCAAATAGTCAAGTGCATAGAGGGGCTGAGTAAGTACTGATGATGTTGATGATGATGACAATGAATATAAAGAATAGACTGTTTAATAAAAGCAATTATAACATAGATGCATTTATTTGGGATGTTATGATTATTTAAGTTCAGCTTCAGGGCTTAGACGTAAATAGCACCATTGTCTTCTGCCTGTTTACTCCAGAATTTAGCAGTTAATACAAAACTGATTCAACTGTAGAAAATTAAAGTACTCAAATATGTATTTGAACAAATTAACTAGTCTTGGATTATTGTGACAACTACATGCATTAATGCAGTTAAAATGCTCACAAAATACTCAATTGAAAGTGAGTAGTACATAGTATTAGTTGTTATAATTAAGGTGATAAATTGAGTCTTTTCTCCACCTATGCTGCTTGCAGTATCTTACAAGATAAAGTGTTATTAAATTACTGGGAAGACAATGTAATGACTGGAACTGACAAACCAAAACAACAGAACAGTCAATAGTATAAGGAAGTTGGATCAGGAGCGAACTGAGAAAAGCAACAAGGAGATGCCATCTGGGGAGCCCAGTAGTTACAGCAGCTGTATGGAGATGCCCCTAGAAGATGAACATCTAATCAGGTGGCAACTTCTTAGAACTTCCAAATGAAAACAATGTAAACTGCAATATTTTTTATTTGAGAAATGCACTGCCATCTAGCAAAATGGGGACTCTTGAAACTTTTGAAATCTGCTGACACTGATTAGTTTTATATTTTGGTGAACTCTAATTATAATTTTTATTTCTGCAGGGTTTAATATGCAGATGGAATAGCATCATTTCATTGGCAAATAACTGTAACTAGGAAAACAAGCACACAAAAGAACCCTAGCAGACAATTAGACTAAATAATGTCACTCTGCTATCAAATCTGCTATTAGTCATAAAGTCCAATTCCTTTATAATCTTACTTTATACATTTTTTACTTCATAACTCTAATCTTGTAAGAAAATTTATTAAATCATTTTACCTAACCTGAGTTTAAAATGTGTTTGCTCTTTCTCCTATATCACAGAGGGGCTTCCACTCTTTAGGAAACAAAGAGAAGTTGACTTGAGAATTTTCTGAGAATATTCAAAATGACTAAGTAAAAGTTAATGATATTTGGTCCCTTGTTCTTTGTCATCAAAGAAGCCCATTATCAAGTAGATAGTTTTGGTCAGGGTAGCTAAGTTTTAGCTCAATGAATATATTTAGACTAAGATAATGAGATTATAATTTTGCCTGTTTTCAATGGTTATTAGACAATTTCTTAAATTCCTTGAAGTCAATGTCCATTTAGTGCTTTGAGGCTAAAATAAAGAACAGTGCTTTAGCAAGAAGAAAGCATGGTAGAGTGCAAAATATTATATTATTAATGTATCTCCTTTCATAGCAGTCCCTGGGGAAACTCAGTAAATGTTAAGTTAATGAGTGAAATCAAAGAAAAGGCTCCCTGACAAAAAAATACTTGTGACACATTTTTAATTCAATAAATATTATTAGCAGCTATTGCGTGTTAGGGAAAATAGAGAAGGAGCTCCGGCTGTCAGGAAATATGGACTTGAAACTAAAACAATATTATTACTGCTATACTTACTCTACGATCAAAGCATTAAGCAAACACACACAGAAGAAACTTTGTGCAAGAGCATAGGGGTTCAGTAGGAAAACCTTCCCAAAGGGCATGCTTCCTGACCTGAGCCTTGAACAGTAACCAGAAGTTTTACAAATAAAGAAGAAAGCAAAAGAAACAGAGCCAAAAAAAAAAAAAAAAAAGTAGTGAAAGAGCATAGAACTTTCTGGAGGCTTGTGGTCTTGTGCACCCAGAATGGGAGTAAGTGAGGGGGTGGGGGAGGCAGCTAGAGCAGAAGGAAGTGACAAGATATAAGACTGGGGAAGTGGTTGAGGCAAGTTTGTGAAGGCACACCATTCTTGAGTCAAGTTATGCATGAGTTAAAAGAAAATACTTTATTATTATATGAAACCTGCAACTCTTATTATAAAAACAGAAATGTTTCTGGGTTTACTGCCATTTTTTTCTCCTCTTTCTCTCTCTCTCCCCTCTTTCATGCTCTCTGCGTTTCTCAATCCCTCTGTTTCCCTCTCTTTCCTTTCTCTTCCAGCTTTCTTCCTTGCCTCTTAAAACTGTGAGGGCCCAGATCTCTTCAGTCAGCTTCAGAAATAAAAGCCTTTAATTATCTACATCTGGGGGGAAAAAGTATTTGGGTGTGGAATAGAGAATCTGGAATAGGTACACATGTGTATAGAGGCAGCATAGAGGCAGAAATCCTGGCTACCTACTGCCCCTTGCCCTCTCCAGCTGCCCAGGAACCTTGGGCCAGCTCCTTCAATGATCTAAGCCCACTCCTCATCTGGAAAGAGGATGAACTGCTATAGTGTATAAAGATTGCCTGCACATAGTAAGTCATTATAAATATTAAGTGTTATTACTTGTCTCATTCTCTCTAATTTAAATAGATACATTTGAATGAGACTTGACTTGTTAGCTTCCCCTTCCCCAAAGGATTCAGAAAATGAATTATAAATGATGTTAAAACCCTGAAGTTGTTTCCAAAATTACCAACTTTTTCAAGGCATAATTTATGAAAAGGACAAAATTTAAAATGTGACAAAAAAAAAAAGCATCCTTGAGATTGTTAATAAAATGTCCCCCAAGCACAACGCCATCCCCCCAAAGCAGTGCTTGACAAAAGGACAAGACCCAGGAGATTCTTCTTCTCTGATGTTACTGGCAGTGAACTAGAAAGAAGAGGAATGGATATTTTATAACATTTCAGCTTGATGCTTTAACAAGCTAAACCTGATTTTAATCAAGAGACTTTTTACTACTTTGAATTAACTTTTTCATATTCCGTTTTATTCCCTCCCTATGTAAGGAAAATGTTGACATACTTTTGCATCCTACTTTATTTAATTTTCAGTAATATTTTTACTTAAAATAACATTCAGTGTATTTTTTAAATTTGTTCTTTTGGTGGGGTTCAACTCCACCTCTCCCAATTTCACATTTTTTTGGGGGTGAGATATTTAAAACAATGTTGATGGTCACATTTGCCATGTCCAGAAATTCACATTTACAGGTAAATGGTTAATTTCATTCAAAATTGCTAGTGCAGGTATTCTTTAAACAATTTTATTTAATAGAAACCAATTATGATAGATTTATATAAAGTTAAAATAAAAATATGTGAGGATAAACCACATTTGTTTAATAATTTTTAAAAAAGTATCCTGAGGGAATAATTATAGAAAACAAGTTGCTATCCTTGATTAAGAAAAATTGGGTTTTGCTAAGCTTACTGCTGATAAATGAATCCATTTCCAGTCTGAATGGCTTTTATGTTTATCATATGTCAATAGTTCTTAATATTGTTGGATAATAATAACTAAATAAAGTCTGATGCTACAAGATCCAAAGTCTCTGTTTCAACAAAGTTCCTACAATAAATATCCCATTATCAACTTTATAAGAATTTCTATTGTAGAAAGAAATCTTTATTCCAAATTTAATGGTCACTTGTATGATAATTAGCATAACGAATAGTTCAGACAAATCTATGAAAAAGTACAATTAAGCAACACAAATTGCTTTTATTATTAGAGAATAAATGATAAAGAGGTGGCCTCTAACTCTATGTAGTTATTAAGCACACCCATTAAAAACTGTTGGCACCAAAATCACTTGAATAATCAGTAGCACACTAACATGTGACTCAAGATGTTAATATATCCACTAAAGTATTTAAAGAAGTTTTTTAGAAAAACAGAACCAGAATAGCTAAAATTAAACCACTCCCATTAGGCACAATCTAAATGATCAATATGCACTTTCCTGAAAATGTTTTTAAAGTAGATAAAATCACAGTAAATAGTCTCCCTGAAATAAAGCAGTAGAAATAAATCAGACCATGATTTGGTTTAAAAAGAAAAAAAAATCATAGTTTTGGGGGGTGATAACAGTAGATAGCTGTAGAAGCCACCCACAGAGCAGAGGGGTCCCACTCTGGACAGCCACGAGGTAGACCCTGCACCATTGCTAAGCGGTTGAATGGGGGCAGGGCTCACAAAGGGCTCAGGTGACAGGTGCCCAGATCTCTATTCCTCTGGAGGTAAAATCCACAATCCACACAAACAGAGCCACCCAACAAGCAAAACAGTACAAGCACTTAGAAATGACAAAAAGACATAAAGAAAATTTACCTTATAGAAAAACCGTCCTCAGTAGTACTGGCGTGTGATCAGAAACTCCCTTCTTTCTGATTTGCAGAAGAACTTTGTCAACCCTGAGTGTGTGGTCACAAGGCAGGAAGTGACTAAAATGACAAATCATCAGCCAAGAAAGAAATAGATTTTGTCTTTATAAGGGCATTTTACTTAACTTTTTTCATGTCCCCTCCCCCCTGCCAAATCACCTGACAGAACAGGTCATACTGAAATTTAGAAGCCTCTTACCACTTCCTCTTTAAAAGCATTTTTCTCTTCCTTCCTTTTTTTTTCTCTCCTCTAGCTGTTTGTTAGGTTCTGGCTACTTAAACCTGTCTGATTTCAGATAACAAGGCCAGGTCAGCCTGCTACCTGTCTTTCTTTCTCTGATCTCACTTGCAAATGTAAAGCCCAGGTTTCTGTCTACTTACAGCAAAGATAAACAAATTATTCATTTTTAGTTGAGGAGCCAGGGGTAAAAGTAGCAGTACACCTGAAACAAACTAAAAGGGATTTCCCTGGGAAAGCCCGCCCCAGCCTATACCAAATCTCTCTTCAGAGTCCCCAAACAAAACAAAATAAACTCTTTAAAGGGAAGGGCTAGAAATGCTAGGTCACTATATTATTTACTCATTCTTTTATGTATAGAAGAGTGCTAAGGATCTCTTTAACCCAATTAGTGATTTCAATTATTTAGACGTTTCCTATAAAGAGCACTAGTGGATAACTCTGGCAGCTGTTCTGGTTAAATGGGAAGCTAAATTTCTTCATACAGACCAGATTTATTGTTTGCATGCACATTTAATGAAATTAACAATAGAATACAAAAGCTCTATTCTTGCCCAAACCTCTGATGCTTGTCTTGAGGTCAAATTCCCATTTTCAAACCTACGTGCTCAAGGGCTCAGCCTAACAGTGGTTGTGAAAAGTGCACAGAGCTGAGTAATGTTGACATCTCCACATTGTCTGGAGATTCTGTGGCTCCAGCAGCCAGCCTGCTATTGAGGAATCCAGAATATGTATGTGGCTGTGCTCCAGATCTGACAGTGAGTTGAAGATGTTTGTTTGATCATTCCATTCACATCTGTGTTTACAAGGGGCCTGGAACCCTGCCAGTGGGTACACTGGTTGGGGCACTGCCTTTATACTTCTTTTGCTGCTTTGATTCCTCCTCTCAAAAGGTCCTGCTTCTGACCTCAAATGTTCAACCAAGTTGTTCTGGTTTATCTAGTCCTTCAGCCAGTGGTAGGCAACTTCTTAGTCAGAACCCCACAGGGCAGAAGAATAGGAAGAGATGGTGGAGACTGAGTCCATTTCAGAAGTGGTTCACCTCACAGAGAACTATCAGCTCACTTGTGCCTCCCCAGGGAAGTCTAAGGAGGTGAATAGAACCCTGTTTTCTCCAGTAATAAGTTGCACAAGGGTTAGAAAAAGCACCTACATTTTTTGGGGGACACTATAGGAACATCCATGCCTTGCTGTCACAGGACTAACTACAGTACAATGCAGCCAAATGCTGGGTTTCCATGCTGGTGGAAACAGTCATCACTGACGACCCTAGACAGGGCTTTTATAGTCTTTTGGATATAAAAAGGTGTGAAGTGACTGAGAATCTCCCTAAAAAACTGGTTCAGTATCCCTGTGATTTCAGGATGGAATGAAGGTCCAGCAGCAATAATGAAAACATGAAACTTTCATAATAATGAAAACTTCATAAATGAAAACAGATTCATTTTGCGCACCTGGGAAAAGGAAAGCAGCAGCATTCTATATCTACTGTTGCCTGGTCTTCAGAGACCTGAGGAATCTATGAAGAAGAGCAATATGTACTTAAGAACTGGTTCAGCAAGTGTTTGGGTGCCTATCTCTAGGCATGGATGATTCAGAAATGAATAGGATGCAATCCCTGCTTGCAAGGAGTACTTGCTCTAGTAGGAGAGGCAGACATGTAAGTACATAAATGCCATCTACCACGAAAGGGGTGAAACAGCAGTGGAACAAAGTGCAGATCTGAGTGAAGCTGACTTTTAAAAACGGTGAAACATGCTTAATTATGATTGGCAGCTGGTGCAAGTAAAAAAAAGATTTAGGATTTCAGATGATGTCTAGATTTTGGAGATGAAAGCCATTGCACTGTGCTGCTTACAACCACCCAGCTGAAGGAGTTTTTTTTTACTCTAGCACCAACTCAGCTTTGGCTCCATATCAGCCACTCACCACCACCTCACCCACATCCTGGACAACTCCCTCCATCTTCATCTCTTCATCCGCCTCTCAGTGCCAAAAGTCTACCAGACGTAGGCAACTGTTAAAGTCTTAGATAAAGGCGTTTTAAAGAAAAGTATTTTACCATTCTCAGTGTTTAGAATTTCTTGTGGATCATGATAATAAACACTAGACTGCCTTTTGGTTTTAATATTTTCACCTTCTCTATACACAATGCACCCCTGATGACCTGCACCCAGAGTGGACCTCTCCCACCCCCACTCACCACATGCCTCTACCGCCACCTGTGCCACATCTTCACTGGCTGATACTTTGCTTTCCCTGTCCCTACTGCCCTCCCCTATGTCAACCCCACCCACAAAGCCCTGGAACCCAGAGTCTCAATACCTAATACTGCACAACCTCCTACCCTCACAGAAACACAGACTTGAAATGTTATAAATTCAAGCTGCTTGCCTTCAGATTACTTCTCAGAAATACTTCTATTCTATTTCATTATTTACTGAAAGCAGGTATTCTCACCCTTGGGTCCATAGATCCCTAAAATGTATATATAACTTTGTGTGTATGTGCTTTTTCCTGAGTCCATCATACTATTCATTAGAATATTAAAGAGGCACCAAAAGTTCTTACTTCAATCTACTCTACTCTCTCGCATCCTTCCCTGGCCCCAAATTCCTGTCCCTTAGTGATGGAGATGATCAAGTCATCTGGTATGAGTCTTTTCTACTATTACAAGATCCATCATTTACTCCTCTCCTTCAGTCTTAAAGGAGGTGTTCTTCCATCTTCTCAAGGTCAATAGTTTCCCATTCTAATCTTAATCTTATATATTCTGCTTCCTTTGATACCCTGCTCCATCAATTATATTCTTCTAGAATCTTTAATCACTTATACTCCACCTCTTCCTGTTCATTTACTCATAGGATTCATACGAAGGAAAAATACTTCTGCTTCACTCTACTGCTTACCCCTCAACATTTGATGAGCATGGAATGACAATAATTAAGAAGTGCACAGTCCCCGCCTTTGTAGAATGTCCACTGTAGTCAAGAACACAGACAAGTGAAAAGGCAAGTGCCACTCAGAACCATGACAGATGTAAAGCAAAGTGCCTGTGGGAACACAAAGCACTAAGCCAGACTTGGGGTCTTGAAGGCATACACAGGGAGCACCATGGAGTGGTTAAGAGTAAAGTTGTCGGGCCACTTGTAGGCTACAACCCCACTCTACTATTGGACTAGTTGTGTAACCTTGGGCAAAGTATTTTTTAACTTCACTGGCCTCAGTTTTCTCACTTATAAAATAGAGCTATGTATAGTGTCTATTTTATACAGTTGCTATGAGAGGTAGGTGAATTATATATGTAGAAAACTCCGTAGAGTGCCTGCCACATAGTAAATGCTATATATGTGTTCATTTGTCTTTTAATATTTATACCAGGCTTGAGACTAGACCCTTGACACACATTATTTTATTTATTCCTCACAACAACCCTATGAATTGTTTTATTCTTTAATATGTAAATAACAGTATGGTTCTCATGCCATAAAATTCACTGTTCAATAGTGAAGTTCAGACTTCCGGTCAAGATAGCAGGTAGGTAAATGCGGTATCGCGTCCTCCCACAACCACATCAAAGTTACAACTAAACTACAGAACAACGATCATTTAAAACTGCCTGAAATCAAGCTGAATGGAAGTTCTACAACTACAGAATTAAAGCAGCAGCCACATCCAGGCTGGTAGGAGGGGCGGAGGCTGACGGGCTGGTCCCACACCCACGTGTGGCGGATAAAAATCAGGAGGACACCTCAGCTGGGAAGGTCCTCCCTGAGAACTGAGGGGTCCTAGTCCTACACCAGGTGCCCCGCTCAGGGTTCCAGTGCCAGAAAGAGAAGTCCCCACAACTTATGGCTGGAAAAACCAGCGGGAACTGAGGCTCAGGGAAGCTGACATGGCTGGAGCCCCAGGCAGCTCCTTAAAGGGCCCACGCACAGACTTATCGGACTCACTCCCTCTAAGCTTGGAGGGGAGGCAGCTCGAGGGGCACCAGAGACACACAGGGAAGAACTGAGCTGTTTGGCGCTGGAGTGAGGGCTAGAGAGGGGGCTTTCTCTGGGACAAACGTGCTGTCAGAGGCCTTTGTTCCTTTGGTGAGCCCTTCCCTGGGGCGGCAGACAGTTGCCATATCTGGAACTCCAGCAACCTGGCTCACACTTGTAGCCCCACCCTGGTGATTCCCTGAGGCCCCTCCCCACCCAACTTTCAGGCTCACCCAAGCTGTTGCCACTTGCTTAACCATAGGATTGTCCTGTCTTGGATCCTGCTTCAGGTTTTCCTAAATTCTTTCAAACAAGCAGCATCTGGTCTCAGCTAGCCCCATACTGCTTGTTAAGTAATACACAGAAACAAACACAGGGAGGCAGCCAAAATGAGGAGACCTAAGAAACAGGTCGCAAATGAAAGAACAGAACAAAACCCCAAGAAAAGAACTAAGCAAAATGGAGATAAGCAACCTAACAGATGCTGAGTACAAAATACTGCTTATAAGGATGCTCAATGAACTTAGTGAGGGCCTCAAGAGCATAAAAAAGGACCAGTCAGAAATGATGGATGCACAGTCAGAATTGAAGGAGGCATTAACTGAAATAAAGAATAATTTACACAGCTTCAATAGTAGAGTACATAAATCCAAGAAGCAAACCATCGATTTGGAATATAAGGAAGCAAAAAACAGCCAATCAGAACAGCAAAAAGAAAAAAGAATCCAAAAAAATGAGGATAGTGTAAGGAGCCTCTGGGACAATTTCAAGCGTGCCAACATTCGCATCTTGGGGGTGCCGGAAGGAGAAGAGAGAGAACAAGAAATTGAAAACCTGTTTGAAACAATAATGGCAGAACACTTTCCTAACT